GAATGAGTTTTTCTACGGCGACGTATATAAACGTATGATTTTGCAGTTTTTTAATAAATATAATATAAACGTACTATGATCATAAAGTTTTCTTGGATATCTGCTACATTAAATGTGTTATTTATGCGTAACTTTATTTTCTCCTGGGCTACCTTGAAGAGAAAGTATTGTTTTCAGGATTTTTAACATTTTTTTCTCATTTTTTTATTTCCATTTTTTATCCAATACATGTCTGTCATTATATTTGAATATACTGTATCTAAGTTTATTAATAATTGTAATATATTCTTTTCTTTGAATTAACGAAAAGTCTGCAGTCACTTTTTCTTGCTGTGATATTTTATTCTTGCAAATGTTAAAGTTATAGTTAAAAATATTTCCATGTTTAAAAATCGTTATAAAAAATCGCTTTCGTTTATGTCTGCATTACCACCGGCTCTTTAAAGTATATATTAATTTATCTTTGTTACGCAAATTTTATACTTTGATATTACGTTTTAACTGATATTAGCTCATGATGAGCAATAGGAAGCTTTTAAGTACATTCATCTTATTATACATTTACTTTATTTAAATTAATTTTATAACCAATTTTGAGTCAGATAATAAAGATTGCTGATAGAAAAAAATGGACAATTATTTTTTCTTTTAAGAAAGCGCTCCTCCACCAATGTTACTGGTAGCACTTTTTAAATTTATGTATTGACGAATATATAGTTTAATGCATCCAAGAAATTTTTTTCTTAATCCACACCCGTATATAATACTAGTTATAACAGTCAATCAAGTAGATGCTCAAATTATTTAATAATAGTAGAAAATAGTGATCCTATGCTTTATTCCTTAGTTTTATTCCTTAAACGTTGTATTTCAACAATTTGTAACACCGTGCTTTACAAGGACTAAACGCCGAGAGTGCTGTTCATCTTGCAACACCTTGGACAGGTCGCCGTCGCGCTTTCCGGTGGTTAAGCCCCCTAAATTCCCCACTACAAATTTCAGGATAAACAATTTCAGAAAGTATGTCAATTTTGTCTTTTATTTTCATGCTGGTGGATGAAAACTATTGTATTTGATGATACCTGTACATGTATGAGCTGCCAAAATAATTTGATGTCAGTTTTATCCATGTAATGACCGCAATATAAATGAACATCTTCTATTACTTAGTTTTTAAGCTATCAACATTAGATTATTGTTATTGTTATTGTGACTTCAAGAACTACGTCCACGCAGAACACTGCAGAGGTATACTAAGTACCAGTACACATTAGTCTTGATTCCCTATAATCGTGAGTATACAGATCCACCTTCCCCACCATTTTTTGAAAATGATGAAGGATGAAAAAGTTTTACACGAATCATGTCTGGACCTATAGTTTAAGGTGGAATCCGAATCACCGAAATCACGGTAACCAACGTATAAAAATTTCATTTCTAAAAATCATCGCATACCCGGGGCTCGAACTCACGACCTCTTGCATAGAAGACTGGGTTCTTACTCACTAAACCACCATGATCGCTTAACTAATATATTTTCATATAACTCATATATTTTGAAGCTTGAATAGATGGTACATTTTTATCACACATTTGAAAAATTTATTTTTGAATATTGCAATAGTTTAAAATATTTCAAAGACCCATATCAATTAGAACAGCTTAAATTAAATAATAATATTATAGTAGAATCAATGTTAACACATTTAATAAATATTTAAATTTTAACATGCAAGAAAATTATCAACAAAATTTGCAAATTAATACACAGGAATGGAGCGATATAAGGAGGGAGTAATAATTCTTTTTTAAATGAAAGTTTTCATCTTAATAAGTTCATGTTAATAGTATTTTATCGAAAACTACTTCCTCCTTTACGAAAAATACATAGATAGATAATTAAACTTCTTTTTGAACAATTGTTACATTGAAAATTATTCTATATAATACAAATTCACTCAAACGCATTTTGAAACACAAATAGAAGGATGATAGAAGATCAATCCATGCTCTGATAAAAATGGAAAAATTGTTACTATTTCACAATAATATATGATTTAATTGTAATTATATGTATTTTCTTTTTTATGTATTTATTACTTTTAATCATGATAAGTAACCTTAATCAATTTACTTTAAACGGTTACAAAAATAACTTTTAAGCTATGGGTGCATTTGTAAATTAGTTGGGAAAATATTTTTTATGATGAATTTTCTGAAACCGCCTTTTTTTGTAACGTTTGGATTTGTGTTTGAATTATTACCTATTTCATAAGAATAAAGTAAAAATTATAGTTTCCTGATTCCGGGAATATTATTTACTATATGATAGATTCCAAATATTTCACTTCACAAAACGAAAAAATTAACCAAAATATTAATTTTATAAATATATAGAATTGAAAATAATGCATATAAATTGCTATAATTATCTAAAATAATCGCGAATGAATTAGATTCAATAACTTAATAAATATGTTTATTTCTTCAAAATAAATCAAGATCATTTTTTATTTAATATTTTTCATGTCTTTTAATATTATTTCCGGAAAACCGATTGTACAGTAACATAATTAGTACTCAATATGATAATTCTATACATGAAGATAAAACCAGTCAGTGATCTATTAAATTTCCATTGGCTAACATCGCTCTTTCAAGCTTTTAAATTAGCCATATAATGTAGTATATGCAGAGCAAAAGAGATTGAACATGTGGTTCCTCCTGACGTTATTTATTGATTATTAGTACATAAATCTTATCAAATATATCGGTGAATCTATTCTTACTAGCTATTTTTAAACATGAACATTTTTCGAGATTATTACCTTTTTTCGAAAACCGATTAACAGAAGGACTACACAAAAATTTCAATAATAGTACAACGTCCTATATATGTATTCAATTCGTCTATCCAAAACAATAATTTTCACGTCAAAGTGTCTTGTTATTTGATATAATGATTCCATAAATAATTATAAGATCACACGATTAGATATATGCAAACTTATCTCGTAAGAATTCTTCTCTATTATTTTTTTATTTTTCTTTCCCGATTATTCTATAACGTTGTACATATTCTTCTACGGATCTCATAACAAAAAATACTCTCTATGTATTGATATTATCTGTCAATAAGGTCGATTATTAACTGCTATTTATAATTATCTTATGTAGAAGAAGAAAAACAGTAAATAAAATTAATCTAAAAGTCTTGGAACTAAATCCAGACTACACATATCATAAAAAATATCCCAAACTTAAAATACACACAATTTGAAATTTCGATGTGTACTTTGTTAGAAGCCTGTAAACCTCATTCATGAAAATTCAATTCAAGACAAGAATATCACTGTAATAAAAATTATTAAAAATACAATGATCATTCATTCTGTTACAGCTGACATAAAATTTAGCATTGAAAAAAATATTTTTTTAATATACGAGTATTAACTGTCTTAAAATGACTAACCGTCTGAAGTTTAATCACTGAATGAATACATTTTAATAATAGTACGTTGAAGAAAAAAAAAATCTGCATGTAAGTAACTGCATATAGTGAAATTTTCATTACAAACACCAATAAGAAACTATTTGTAAGCTATTTCGAAAATTTTTTGTAATTTTAAATTAAGCATGCAATAGATGTTCTAATTTTGAATATGCAAAGTGTTTTATAGTATCAGTGATAACGATGTCATAGCAACAAGACATCTATTATTATATTTACATCGATGCACTACTTTATGCATTATTTATGTGAGTGTTAAACAGTAAATTATTGCCAGAAGCTGATAGTTTATTAGTGATACAAAGAATCAACGCGAAAGGCTGTACGTCAACATTGCATTTATTTCCGTGATGTAGTTTTTTCGTGTGTTTCGATGTGGTTAGTTTATCTTGACTACTTTCATCTCATTAATTAATGTAGCATATCAATAAAACCATTCACATAAGAGATAGAGAGTACGCGACAAAGTATCAATTATTTCAGACACATGATTGATCTTCAGCTTTACCTTCTTTAGCAAAATCCGATACGCGTTGGTACAGGGATTTAAAAAATGCCATACTCATTACGCGTTCGAATTACCTGTAATCAAAAAAATAAAAATATATGTATAATATACATTATTATATATATTGAGCTAGTCAAATAAAAAATTACATCAAATAATAGTTCTGTTGATAACTTAACATTTATTATAATAAATGCGTGCACCCAGAAAATCCAGCAGGAATGCTGTTTTAAAAAACAATTTGCGATTTGAAATTCGAATACCTGTTATCAATTTTGCTTCTATAGAAAATAATTTATTTTATAGAAGATATTTTGAGTTTATGTGATTAATGTATACCAATTCTCTAAATAAAATTTTGCATTAATCAAACAAAATAAACCATACACTAAATGTGCAATAAATTCTTATAGTTTGTATTATGAAGACTGTGTCAATCTAAAAGCATATAATTAGCTTTGTACCCTTTACAAGTTTCATAGTGGGACTTGTTTCTGTTTTACCTTCATTTTTAGTTTTCTGAAAATATATAAATATCTCTACAAATTCTTATTGATACCACCCTTTAAAGCAAAGTTTTCAAACTATTATCAGAGGATAATATATTTAAAAACTATAGATGTATATATTCCTTCAAAAGACTTGAACCACATCTGACTCAATCCTTTGACAATTTTATTAAAGTTTGTTTCAACGAAAAGTAAAGAATATTTTGAATAAACATTTTGCAGAACCATGACAATGTATTTATATAATGCAATTTGTGATTATTTATAGTAATGAATATTACTTTGTTACTCTTAGAATAATAACGTTACGAAAGAAAATTTGTTGAGACTGAAAATGTTTTTTATTTCAAAATTATTTATGTAGTCGAATTATATTCTCGGTCATGCTTAAACAGCATAAAAAATTCATTGAAATAACAAATCAATTGTTCATAACGATAAAACATTACAATTTTAAGGTATATACTTTAGCTACATTATATTACTTTCTTCAAATTTTTTATTAAACACTTCAGAGTTAACAACTAAATTATATAATTAGGATGTAGAAGATACAGTAATGATATTAATTATAATAATAATTATAACAGGGGCTTTGAGGTGGTATATTTTAGTTATATTGAATATTATATAATTGTTCAACCTTATTACTATTCCTACGCTTTTTTTGATTCGTTATAAAATTCAACTGCTTTTTTCGTGTAGGCTTCCCACTTGTCCGGCTGATTTTTTGTAAACCAAGCAGCTATTTTTTCGAAATTTTCTTTTTGTTTGTTGGTACATTTGACACATTTAGTCAAAGCTGCTTCTGGAAGAATTTCTGTAAAATAACCAAGATTGAATTAAATAATAATTCGTAATACTGATTGAAAGATAATTGTTTAAGTTCATTATAATTTATCTTCGGATTGACTATAAATTGTTGAAAACACATGATAAATTTTGAATAAAGATTCATATTGCAAACTAATATTTAATTGAATAATGCATATTAGACAGTGTTTTTACAATACAAGTGGTATCTATACTCGAACATTATTCGATTAAATAATTAAAGTACTTCTTCGACTAATTTGTTAAGGATTATTGAATATTATTGATTTGCGATTAAAAGCACATCGATAAATGTTATTAACATGTTGTGCTCATTAATTTTGTTGCTTTGTCCTAAATGAAGATTCATCTAGACTTTTCGGTGTTATCATTAGTTACGACAGACGTATTGGCTAATATGCTGTTTCTGATATTCGTCGATGACTAGTACATAACAAGAGTATAAAAAAAGTATTTAATAAAATGGGTTATACATCAGAAATCTTTATATTCTATAATAAATTAATTTTCAACGGTACTCAATAATTCTATCACTGAAATTTTGCCAGTTGAGTATTATATCACTCATATATTGTTATGACACGCAATATCTTATATTTATGTGGTCGTATTTTGACATGTATCACATTATAAACAATGCATTCGAAAGTTGAACTTATAACATGATTGATCACATACTTAATGCACGGCCATAGAACATTAAGAAATATTATCAAAAATATAAGATACTGACTATAAATATATAAACCAGAAAATAAATTCTCATATACATATATTTTGTGAACGTATAAAAACAATTTATTCCAGTTAAAAGTACTCTATATTGCATATATTAAAACAATAGTTTTTTTAATGATTATTACTTACAATATGATTTTTAGATGCAGACGGGATGAATAACTTAAAAGATCGACCATTTCTCATCCTGCTATTTTTAATTTATTGAAGTGAAAATATTTCGTACCAATAACTTAATTTAGAAAAAAATCTTATAATTCTAATAGTATTTAACTTGTATCTCTATTTATTTAATTACTAATTGTCATATATTCTAAATCTTAAACGGTAAATACTTTATCAAAATCATTGTAAATGAATAATAATGCATGAATCGCTTACCTTTGAAGTACTGAGCATCAGGAGTAACGCAAACTGAATTTCCCATGTAACAATTATAATATTGTTCTCTGAGATTGTCATCAGACAAAATTTTGTCAACATCGACGTAATCATACTGATCTGAATATAATTCTTCAGATGCTACAGCGTAAAACGCCAAACACATAAAAAGTATCACTTTCATGGTGTTTTAATCGTACAAAAAACTTCTTTGTAGAAAATAAAATCACTTCTGTCGAATTCGAACATCGTCGACATTTATATAATCGTTGGCGACGATGCCCCACTACGAAACTACTATCTGTATTTTCTGAGCTGCCGCAATCATATCTACTTACTATACTTCGTCAATTGCAATTATGTTCACAAATTTGTATTGTTCACATTCAAAGCTACAGATATATTATAACGTTTTAGAGAATTAAATGAAAATTTTTCAATAATTTTTTATACTTGAATAGAAGAAATTTTCCTATATTTAACTTTTAATTACTCATTATTATCTGTAATATAGATAGATCAATTGTGTATTCATCATAATTGTATCAAGATCATTATACAATTTATCTACCAAATAGGATATGTCACACATTAACAATTAATCGTTGATGTAGCTGTATTTTTATATCATTATTCTTAAAATAAAACGAAATTTTTCTTGACGTTAGAAACGAATATCTTATTTTTAGATACACTTTCCTTATTTTGAAAATAATTATTTAAGAAATACCACCAATTTATGAACTTTTCTTGTGACACTATTGATTTAACTCTTATCTAAAACTCGATAATTTTTACACACTCGTTTTATGTTTATTCTTATCAGAAAAATGATACCTGCAATGTATAAGACACTTGAAAACATTTACAAGCATGACTTAATGATATATTTGTCATCAAGAACAATTGAACTAATAATTGAACTAATTCTCAAAGAAATGTTCATAGGAAAATAATAAATCTTATGAAGACAGTGAGATTTGGATGAAAATAATATGAAACATAATGCATAATCGACGTGATATATCAATATAGGAGTCATCGTAAGTCATCGAGTCAATCTAAAGTTACACTTCTAACTAACCATAGCTCAAACTTGACCTTTAAAATTGAGAATTTTACGATAAGCTCTTTATGTCTCATTAATAATAAACAAACTTTTATATATTGAACCTCTTTAATTTAGATATGTTATCAAGCAATAAAAATTAAAAGATGTTATATAATTTAAAATGATGGTATAATTAAATGTTTCAACTGACTTATCGAAGCGATACAACAATAGCTGTAAATTTTTTGGATAATTATTGAAATAAAATATTTTTTTTAATCACGTTAAACTATTTTACGATTCCATTAGAATTCAGACACTAATAATTTTTACAGAAATTACTTTCAGAACGATAAAGAAAACTTGTGGGGCTAAACTTAAAGTATTAATAAATTTAAAGCAACATGATTTCTTTACATTCATTCAATTACGTTGAATTTTACAAGTAAAATTCTGTTTGGAGTTTAAATATTCATAATTTTAAAAGTTAAAATAAACTAATATTTCATTTTTTTAAGTGTTTTGATGATGTCTATTTCGCAAATAGGTAAGTATGCCATATAAAAAATATTGCTGTAAAAGTTAATGATGTAGAAAGTTGATTTCGTACACTATTTTTTATTTTTAAACTCGTTCAAATTTCTTTTTATCGTGTTAGTTATCGTATGTTTGTATTCAAGATTTTCGATCGAATGCGTACATATTAAAATTTCATATTAAAGAACGTTTGAAAGTGAATTTGTAATGGTATTTATAATTATAAACTGTAATATGTGCGTCGGGTGCTAATGGATAATTAAAAAGTAAACTACTCATTTCACATTTTCTTGTGAAAAAATTGATACAAATATGCAAATAAACTTTCGGTCGTAAGCGTAATAATAATCAAATCTTTGTAATTATTTTTTTATTTTTTCTTTAGCATTCGCCGGTGAGTTACACTTCATTGAAGTTAATATCGTAAAAGTTTTTTTAAGTATACATAAAAAAATTATAAAATGGTAGAATTCTGTGTTATCATTTGAGATTATAGGATCGTATTTGCCCAACAAAGTTTCAAAGTCTACCACGTGTAGTCGCCTCATTCGATCGTAGGTCGTAGGATAAAAAGCAGTCGATCATCTGTGCTTCCAGTACCTACTTTACCGACTAACATTGAATACGATTGCTGGAAACTGTAGCATTTTCAACTGATTCGTATTGATTAAATTGCTCGGCTATCATATTTCGTTCAAGAATCAATTTAAAGGAACGATTTCATATATAACATTCTATGAGCGGACGATAATTTTTGTCATTAATTTTTATATCAATATTGAAAAGAGCTCCCAATATACTTATTTTGGTGAACATTGAAAATCTATAAAGCAATATAAAGACGTATGGATAATCAATCTATTAATACATATATTTATAAAATAAAATAACGGTTTCAACAATTTTTTATGTTAATGTTATAATGTATAATTGATTTTTAGTCGTGCATATTGCGTATCATTATATAGATATCGAGCCATTGGTAGACTTAAAAGAACTACAACTTTTAGAGTTTATTGAAGTTTTGATATGTATAATACCCATTCGACAATTTCTATAAAAATCTCGATAAAAAAGATTGTTTATGATCTCGAGTTTACTTGAATTCCTTTCTTGAATTTGCGATAGACATATAATCTCAGCATCCATTATTTATTAGTAAATTGTTGCATTTCACTTAATACGCATTAAATCACAGACAGTATCTGTTTCATCGATATTATAAAATTCCTTTCTGAGAAATATCGAAATAAAAGAATAAGTATAGTAAAATTATTTTTGCTGTGTATTAGGAAAAAACATAAATCAATAACAGCAAGCGACAACCGTTCATGCTCTCTTAAAAATCATTTATGAATGTATTTTTTCAGATCATTCTTCTGGATCATGTAGTTCATTTTATAAAAGAATAGCAAATTCATTAAGCAAAATATTAACAGAAATTATTGATGTAATTAAATAAAAATTTCATTTGCATCAGTATCTAAAATATTGTATTTCTTAGATAAGTTTTTTTAAGCCAAGGGTACAATAAGATCAAACTTAACGTAGTCAATGTTACAACAGTTAACGATATCAATAACACTTACAACGCTTGAAGCTGTCTTTAGAAAACTTGATTAACCTATCGCCATGAACCTATAATACAATTACTCCAAAATATCGCTCATGCAGTGGAATAAAATAATATTATTATGGTACAATCTAAATATATCTAAGCTAGGTATTGATACCGTATTTATATTATATTACTTTATTATTACAAATTAAGGTTTACTTTGCTTGAATTGCAATTCACCAGATGAAATAATTACTAAGCGATACTTAATATTGAAAAGAAAAATAAATGCTATTTTCAATTTTGCAGATTGAATAATTGAATACTATTCATTATGACAGCGTATTATCGAAAGTCATTTGTAAAGTGCAGATAGATACTTCACAATGACGGACTTTACCCTTTCTAACTTTCATCACATGAGGATTGATCATTTCCTTATTATTAATTGAACGATTGTATTACCGACTTCATTTACGTATTAGTACTTTAGTTTTAGTACTTTATAACTCAAAGTCATTCGCAATTGTGTGTTAAATTGCTGTGCTTGCGAATTGCTTTACTAGTACACTTGAGTTAGAATCTTCTATTTCAGACAATCACATTGCTTCGCACACGGACGCGCGGGTATAGAAAGAATTTTTCAATATTTAAGTATAGAAGACTCGTTTATGCATTCAGGGAGCATTTTAGAAAAACCTTATAAACACATTCTAAACTTGTCAAATGCCGTAGTATTGAAAATGGCAATTTTATTTTCATTTTTAGCATTTTTTACATTTTTTTATTTGACGATACGTAGGAGGAAACTCGAGAAAGTCACAGTTTATCAATTTGAGTGGGCAATTATCGAACAGAGGCATAAATTCCGGCTATAACCGGCGGCTAAACCTTTCCTGAGATGACCTTTTCTTCCACATTCTCCGAGTTGATAGATATGAACTAAAGGCTGTTTCTTATAAAAAATAAAAGATACACTGAGGGTATGGTGGTTGTATCGACAAAACAGATTAATTCAACCACTTCAAGAGTGAGCATCATCAGTTCATAGCCAATATGATGCAACTTCTAACATACCTCTGTTGAAAGCTTATTGTCTCTCAGCTTTTTTTACAGTTATGATCCCAAAATTCAAACGTGATATTACGGATGACACACGTACCTTATTAAATTTGAAATTCCGTTTATTATATCTTTATAGGCAATGAAAATGTTTCAATGCACTTAACAGCTTGAAAATTTAGCAATTTTCTCAAATTTTCCTCGAACTTTTAGTTATCAAGTCACGTTATTTATTTTCAACATAAGGACATGAAATTTACTAAACAAATTATACTAGTTATTGCTGTTAATGTCAGTTTAGGTAGTCCTCATCTTTCCATACAATATTACTTTACTCATTTTCTGTAATAATTTGACCTATACGAATGTTTTTATAACAATGCAATAAGCAACAATGTTTCTAAGAGCTATTTTCTTGCATATTATCTTAGGAATTACGATGCATTGACTTTATGCTGACAAATGAGACATTTATGATCTTTGGAAATCTGTTTTATTGACTATAAATTTAATTGTTTTCAAATGATTAGTTATTTTTTGCAGCATCTCAAATATATTATTAATCAATGCTTATTTGATTCACAATCATAAAAATTAATAGTAAAACTCAACTAAGGATTTCAGATTACTTATTAAGTTTGCATAAACTATATTTATAAATTAATGCTTATTATGAATTTCGCAATAAGAGCTTTTTGAGAATGCGAAATGAATTCGATAATAGGAATCACTGAAATTTTGTACACTGTGTGCTGAAAATTAGTCAACTGTAGCAACGATAGATTGTTTGGGTACGATGCAATGATTACATCGATTGAGAATACGATTCTATGATAGATGCGTAAAGTGTACAAACAAGCATATCTGTATACAGCGCAGCTTCAATTATTCGCGGTGAGCATGTTCAAGTACAAGCGAGAATTAGTAAATAGCTGAGCTTGCAAGAGAACGCTTTCGCGTAACAGCCGATAGGTTTTAACGAAGGGCAACGGTAGAGCTTAT